TTTTTTAATCAAATGTCTCTTGAGCTCTTAAGTACAAGTATATATACCGCGTTGAACAAAGGCGTATGTATATATTGGTGTGTGCCTATTTGTATTCATATATATATATTTATTCCACAAAGGAACATATTCTCATTACATTTTCTCTACGTCGCTTAGAAATGTTACATTTTTTCAATATTTGAATCATGTATTTACACTGTTCTCCGTAAACTATTTTTTATAAAGTATATAGCAGTCGTAAGTTTACTATTTTCTATAATAGGTAGCGTAAGATTATAGTATTCGCGTAGCGTAGTGATATTTAAATTTTTAGCAATTGAAATATAGAGCATAAATTATATTATAATATATTTGAATGTAGGAGGTATAGCCATTTCGTAGTAGTAAATTTTAATATTTTTTCACTTACAACGTATTAGTTAGTACTCGTATATTATGTAACGGAATCGTTGGTAACAATTGTAAAGTTAATATATAGCAGTGGTGGTGATGGTGGTAGTCTCAATTTATTTATATTATTTAGTTAAAAGTGACATTTTTCTTGCGAACACAATATATATTTCATAAAAATATGTCATTCATCTTCAAATCAGCATAAGGGTAAAAAAAATATAAATATATTTTATTGCAAACGTGTTGTCACATTGAAAAATTTAGCCACGAAATTCGTCCATGAAAAATGACACTTTTTCTTACTCACAAGTAAAGCTATAGTTTTATTTCTAGGACAGTGTAGAAGTAATAGTTGTTAGTAGTAGTACTTAGGATTATTGCGTAGCGTAGCTTACAAGTGGCAGCAGCAGCAACAGTTCTCACTGACAATACAATATAATAGCACCTTGGTACCTAATAAACTTATCAACAATTTTTTTCTTGTTAACCAGACTGCTTCCACTGTTACTAATTTAGTTAGTGTTTCCTGTCGTACAAAATGTTTATTGTAAAAATAAACAAATTAAATGGGTGAGTGTGTTTTTGAATCTCCTTATTTTAAAAACGTACACTTACAAAAGTATAGGAACAAATTTTCGCAATCACGCTTAAATTACTTAAAAAAACAATTAGTACTGGTTAGACACTGCAAAGGCAAATTTTGTAAGAAAACTTGGTTATTAATGCATCATCAACATTCAATAAGTTATAAAATGTGTTCCAATCTTACCGTGAGTTTTATTTAATAGTTATAAGTGGGGAGATAAAGGAATAAAGAAAGTAAAAAATTAAATTTAACAATCTATTAAACGATCAATATTTTTTTGTTTCCATCAACAATAATTGTAAATTGTGTCTCCGTTATCGAACAAACCAAGCTAACGAAGTTTTTTTTCAAATTAAAATCGTAATACAATACAATATAATACAAGATTGCGCCTTTTTGCGATCAACTAAGTACAATTAATTATCAATAATGATTACCTAGAGCGAATAAAAATTAACCGTAATAATATCATTAAAATATATAGATCTCCTAGTCAGTAAACAACATTTTTTTTTTTTTATGTATTTAACTGTAAACTATTCATAAAATACATTTTACTACAAGAATATAAATTAAACGGTGTCTTGAAAACAAGTCGAAAAATGAAAGAACACAACGATGATCCTCAACGTTGACGATTGAATGAAGGAAAATGATTAAAATTTTTTTTTATCGTGTAGTCTATCACTTCAGCATTTATACTCTACGAAAAATTGTACACTCGATTCTGTTTTTTTCGTTCACGTCGTTTTGCAAATAAAGTTATTTCGTATCAAAGCGCGTATTTCCGTTTCGAAAAAGAAAACAAAATATTATGGAGTTTTTCTTTATCTCTCCTAGATGAGAAGTATACCCCTTACTATCTCGTTCGTCGTATATAAACAATTTTTGGGCGGGCATGTTTTCGCTGCTTAGCACATTTCTTTTCGTTTATTTTTTACTATGCCATACGTACTGCGCGGTTTCATCATTTGCTGCGGTACATATTATCTCGTTTTAACATAACAGCCGTTGGAAGCATTTAGGATAGGTAGTAGTAGTCTCTCTGTTACATTTTCTTTTTTTTTTTTTTTTTTCTCTCTCATTTGAAAGTAAATTGCACCTGCTTCGTATTGTACATAAAATTTTCAAATGTATTGCTCGTTACTGTAAGTTTTATGTACGTGTGTATATTGTGAGTTATTATTTTATTTTTCACTAACGCTGCGCCAACACAACTTTCGTCGTCTTCTCTTAATTCGTACACTTTTCATGGATCTATTTTTATTTATTAATTTTTTTAAACGTAAATTGTAATCGTATATGAATGGTAAAGTAAATTCTCGATTGCGAATTTTTTTTTTCATCGAAAACTTAATTATTGTTTTTATTTGTTTTATTGGTAATAATATATTTTTCTAACTAGCAGCCTCTTTTGATTAATGTGCACTAGTCTCAACTAGTGTTGGCTCTAACCTGAGCGTTTTAGGCATATGAACGTGATAATATAGTATCTGCTGTTATATTTAAAGAAATGTGACAAAAATACCCACAGACACTTTATTAAAAGTACATCATTTTATGAAATTAAAAAAAAAAAAAAAAAATTGTACGTCATAAAACCGGTAAATATCATAAATTTTATTGACATTCACGAATTAACGTTTTAGTAATTGAAATTTTGATAAGAAAAAAAAAGTCCTGTGAGCATCAGTCAATGGTATATTTTGCAACACTTTTAGGATTTCCTGCTCTGCTGGCAAAATTTAGCCATAATATTCACCATAGCATTAATATACAAATTCCTTTTTCTCGCTTGACTTACACGTTAATGCTTATGTATTTTTTTGCTTGTATATTTCTACTACCTCACTCATCGTACAAAATATAGTTTTTGTTTGGCGAAGAAACAAAAAAATTAATCTAACATTATTAGGCAATACTGACGTTTATTCCGCCCTCGACTATACACAACGCTAGGCTTTTATTTTTTTTTAATAATAAATTTTATATCCTACTTTTGATTTATATTGACTTTAGGGGTGTGGGGCACTGCCTTATTCAATACTTGTGATCTCCCATTTTTTTGATTCTCAGTATCAAACAGGACTTTTTTTGTTTATTCGTAACCCGCAGTTAAGGGCATCAATCGTAAATACAGCGAATATCATATATAAACGGGCGATTACTTCGTGTTTCAACCAAATAACAATCAAACGCGCGTAAAGTTGCCAGCCGCATAACAAGCTATATAATTAATTAACCCACAACCTCATGAATATATAATGCGAGCGGAGAGACTTGGAAGACTGCGTGGCACTGTCAAGACTCTTTTTGCGATCGTGAAAAAAAAGGGGGTGGTCGCTCCTCCGTTTGCGCGTCAAGCGAAAATAAAATCCCGCGTGGTAAGTAACTTCGACTCGATCGAAAATTTCGTGGTCAAACAAATGACTCGTCAAAATTTAACATAGAGACCCGCCACTGCGTCCCTTCTCCAACTTTTTGGCACAAGAGTATAAATATTACGTATCGCAAGAGGAAGGAAAAAAAAAAAAAAAATACGGCCCAGTGATTTCCATCGAGTCGACGCCAGTGCGGGGATAAATGAAAAAAAGAGCGACCCCTTCGTGGTGTGCGTTTACAATGGTTTATACATATATAACGTGTTTAAGTACAACAAAAAGCCGAGGCCCGACGGGCTCTCGCCCTTTCTCGATTTCGCGCGTCATCGACTTAACAAAAAATACAAATACGCACCGGTGCGGCCTTCGGTATCGCGTGCGAGTAAAAATGACACATGCATTTCGCCGAACCCGAAAACAAAATAATAATGATGATGATGATGATAAAAAACAGAAAGAGAGATAGACACAAGGGGGGGGGGGTGAACGGATTTATCTGGCGAGGCAGCAGCGGCGCGACGGCGACGAATCGGACAGATCCCTTGTGGGGCTGTTACCACTGCCGGCCGCTCGATTATGCTGATGATGGTGGTGCTGGTGGTGGTGGTGGTGGTGATTGTGATGAATGTGATGATAATTGTGGTACTCCGGTAGAACGTAACCGACGCTCCGCCAGTGTCACGGGGGAGACTTTGGCCTGCCGAGCTTCTCCTGCATCACCTGCTGCTGCTGTTGCTGTTGTTGCTGTTGTTGTTGCTGCTGTTGCTGGTGGTGGTGGGAGGCGTGTTCGTTGGCCACCCCGAGATCGGTACTCATGAGGCCGGCGTTGCCGTTCTTGTCGACGACGCTGCTCGTGTGGACGGGATGGAAGTATCGCTCTGCAAGAAAGCCATTATCAGAGAGTGCGGCGGGGGGGGGGGCTACGGATGAGACTTTATGCGGCCGTAAAGACGATTCGCGGGACGAGGAGAAAAGACCGGCGCGTTAAAAGCTTTCCTGGTTACGTCGGTCGAATGGCATTACGTGCCGGATCGAAGGGAGGGGGAGGGGGCAAGGGTGGCGGCGACGTTTACGATAGCTCGCTCCTCGTATTTCCCCGTAGATTTTAAAATCCGCGCAATTTCCCACGCGGCTCGTGCCCAAAAACTCAAAGACCCGCCCTGCCCCCTCATGAATTATTCAGCTGGGAGGGGAAAAAAAAAAAAGAAAGAAAGCTGTGTGGATGTATACGCACCCTCTTCCATGGCTGTGGGCGGCTCGCTGGCCGTGCCGGCTATTATTGGGGCGATCATGTTGTAATCGTCCTCGAGGTTGATGAAGGGTGCGGTGTTCCAGCGGGGCGGTATGTTGGTGACGGGCGGCCTCTGGGTGGCGACGGGCCTCGTCACCGGCGACGTGAACAGCGACAGGTTGGTCGGCGATATCACGCCCGACATCGAGCCGATGCTCGGGTACGTGAAGATTTGCTGGAACGGAGGGTAAAACTTTGGCCCTTTATATCTTCGAACTCTTTGATTGTCCATTCGTTTGTTGCCCACATTTTTTTTTTTTTTTTTTTTTTTTCCAAGTGCAAACCCCTTCGTCTCTATCCGGCTCGGGTTACCATATGGTTACACCCCCCTTTTTTGTGAGGTTTTTTCATATTGTAATCCTGCGTTCGATGTACACGCGAGAAAAGTTAAATCCGCTAGCAGCTCTCAAAGGCAAAGAGAGATTTTCCTTGGGCGCGTATCAATTATCGTTTAAGCCACTTTAGCCGCGTTTCGGCTTACACCCGAAGCACATTACGGTAAATACTTTGAGAACTCCTATTTAAAGTTTGCTACACGACGTTCAGATACGACTCTCCCTCCGTCCCTTTTCTCTGCTACTACTACTGTTCTCTCCGGAGCTTGATAAAACACCTTCCGAATTTTGCACTTTCCAAATGTTCAAGCGGCCCCGCTCAACTTTTTAATAGATTTAATGAAAATCAGCACAGCTTTCCCGGTTTGTATAGTTTAGCAGCTCGTGAACGTTAAACCAGCCGTTAGTCGTAAAAAAACTTTTCCCACAAAATCTTGAGAATTCCAATGCTTTTCTTACATCGTTGGAACGATGCGACATTGAGCTTAAAAATTTAGGGGAAAAGAGTTACTATCACGGGTCTCAAGCTCACCTGCCCGGGTTGCGAGTGGAAGTGCGCAAAGGTGTACTCCCTGCTGGTGTGGGGCGCCGCGACGAGGATCCTGGCGGGGCTTTTGCGTCCGTTGGGGTCAACGGAGCTCTGGCAGGCCAGTCCAGCCGCAGCCATCTGATCCTGGGCCGTGGATCCATTGCCGCCGAGGTCCGTCGGGTCGTTGGTAACCGCGGCAGCGGCGGCCGCGCTAGTGGGCGACGAGGCCGTGGGGTTGGGCGGCGAGTTGGCGCTGTTGGCCATAAGCTCGCCCGTCGACCTGATGATCGCCACTGGCCTCGCCATGGGCGCCGGTGGTGGTGGGGGCAGCATCGAGCTCGGGTAATACTGTGAAAACTTTGGCACGCCGGAGGAGCGCGGGCCCGCGAGTTGCGTCTGGAAATTGCACGCCACCGATCAACCCACACGAGGCCGAGCCGTCTCGTCCAATCGCCCCGGGCCGATTTCTTTTTTTTTCTTTTTTTTTTTCATACTTTTCTCTAACACTTTTCAGTAAACTTCATTCAAAGAACTTGTATACACACGAGTTTTACGAAGAAACAAAAATCGGTCAGGGGCGAGTGGACAACGACAATCGTCAGCTACTACATCTAAGCTGTCGCTTGTGACACTACTCAAAAGTAGTTTATTGCAGTCCTCGCCTCTATTGACTTATACGATCACATCTCAGGTGCTGCCGCTGATGCCGAAGGTCAGTACGAAATTTTTCAGCATGAAAGCATTGGATTTTATGGGAACGGTTCTATCTTAATTAACTACAATTGTATTTTCATGTAGTAATTTATGGAATCAGTACTTCTTACACTATATTGATATACTTTATCTAATTCAAATTATTTTCGAGTGATTACTACATTCTTTTCGTTACATGGTCAAAATTAATTCTTTACTAGCCAGGCGAGGTTAGTCAGTTACGTGCCGTTTACCCGAAGAGCCCCATGACCCTTGTTTTCTTCTTCTTCTGCTGATTTGTTTTTTCTTGAATAATTTTTTTGAATATAAACTCTTCCAATACCTTGTAATAAGTACGACTTTCATAAACTGCCACATGAAAGATAGAATTGTAGTTAATTAAAATAGAACCGTTCGCATAGATTTAATGTTTCCATGCTGGGAAATTTGGTACTAAATTCTAGCATTGACAGCGCCACCTGAGATGTGCTCGTAGTCAAAAGAGACGAGTCACTCAGGATAAAACAAATGAAAAATGAAAACATCAATAAATAATAATAATAATATTACTTAAGTAGTTTGAATGGTCCTACAAGCGACAGTGAAAGCAAGCGTTCGATGCCCGAGGGATCAGACGCGGAAGCTACCTGGGGTAGTTGCTGAGTGTTCTCGGCCTCCTGACAGACGAACGTCACAAAGTCCGAGAGAGTGTCGTGGCCGTTCTCCGGATACTTGACGACCCCAGCGGTGCCCGGATGCTCGGACTGGTAGTAGGCCAGACTGGACATGCCCTGGCCCGAGCCGCCGGCCAGGCCCTCGTGCGGCGAGTGCAATCCTGAAACAACAACGACACGCAAAACCGGCAACCGGCAGGCGTTAGTGCATGGACTTTGGGCAAGCCGGTGATGTGTGTGATCGTCGGGACGAGCTTGGTTTTCCTCCTTCCCCTTGAACACCCGCTCAGAGCAGATACACGCGTCGATTGTTCCACGACTTGGAGTCAACACAAAGTCGACTATTTTAATCAACTCCGATGTAGACCCGCACTCGGGTTATTAAATTTGCTTTTGCGACCAAAGAGAGGAAAAGCAAGACTGGAATCTGCATTACCGAAGAGGTACGTAAATTTAACGCACGAGCTGTGGCCGGAAAATTCACGGCAAAATAGGAGCAAACAGAACATAAAAAAAAAAAAAATATCCTCCATAGCAGTTATAATAATAACAGTGATGAAAGGGAGCAACAACGAGAGTGAGGCTGGACGGCGTTATCGTTATTAGAGGAAGCGAAGGGGTCGTGTTTTTAGCGAAGGGCAGCAAAAGAGAAAAAAAGAGTCATGTATTCCCGTTTGCTAAGTCGGATACATATGCATGATACGTGGGCTAGCTTATATACGCGATGCATAATACATAACGCAATACATACATATATATATATAGATGTATGCGCGTGTGTACCACGAGTAAGGGATGGTGGAGTACTCCAAGCGCGAGAGAGAAAAACACACGAGCATATATGGAGATGGATGTTGGTATACGTACGCGCAAAAAGTGTGCACCGTAGCGTGTGCATGTGCTTTGGCCACTTTTCTTTCTTCTCGCTCTTCGTGCACGGGTGTATTACACAGATGTTTTAAACCAAGTGGAGAATGGGAGCACACGGTACACACGCGAGTATTAATTTTTTTTTTTAATTTTAATTTTAGGTATGGACGGTAATGCACACGAAAAAATTAACGAATGTGCACGCGTGCCGAGTGTTGGGGAGGCAGGCAAACTCCAAACTCGCCCGATTGTAACTATGGTACCACTCAAGCTATGGTTTGTGCGTTAAAATGTTGTTTATTCATCTCAATTTCATGAATTAGGACTGCCCGTCTCGATTGGTCATTATTTTATTTGATATATACATACACCCGAGCTTGTATATAATACATACATTTATCGTATAAATAGCCCGGGTTTATGTATATACGTAGAGTTAGTTTGTAGTAGTGCAACGACAAACATCAAACAGCAAAGTAACAACGTTCAAACATGTCAACATCAAAACATCAAAGGTATAGGTATATAATAATAATAATAATAATAATAATAATAATATATGTATATGTATAAACACATTGAAACATCGACATAAACATTATAATTATAGTGATATATAGTTATGTAATTAACACTTAATATATAGTCATAGATATTACATAGATATTCATGTCATATGTATATATAGTTATTCATATATATGATAAACAACAACTAACATCGCAACAACAATATATAAATTTTATATATACATGAGCGTACGTGGAAGAGGTAGCATTTTTATACATCATGTATATAATATATCACATAAGGGGAGGGTGTATAAAGGTATCGTATCATATCATGTATATATAGGAACATGACATAAACTTAATTATGTGAAGTCAATCCATCGATTAAAAAAAAAAATTTATAACAGTTGTAATAGTAGTAATAATAATCATAGTGAGAATATTTAGAAAATTAATCCATCCAGCATACGACATACCCAGAGCATTGACCGTGTGTGAATAGTGAGATGATATCAATATTGTGCAACGGTGATTTTCATCAACTCTGCATCAAACGTCGACAAATTACTGATTGTTTTTGCTGGTATAAAAACACACGTTTGTCGTTGAACGACGTTTGACGTAGAGTTTCGATACATTAATACAATAGATTTTATCATGTAACAAATATATAGATTGATAAGGTACACAGACAACAGAATGTATGAATAAATATAAACAAATGAACAAACATAGAGAACGAGATACGAATGGACAGACAGAGAGTGGTATCGGCGTGGATTGCGCGAGAGGTAGCTCGCCCGTCCGTTTCCAATCTCTGCTTTGGAAATAATAAAATTCGGGCCACGCGCGCTCGTACCACCCGAAATTTCGTTTTAACGCTCGATTTAACGGCGTACATTTAGCGCTTTGCTCGTGAATATTAACGTCATTGGTACAACAGACGGACATATTTTACGCACGAATTGCAATGTTATTGTGGCATCGTTACACACATGATTCAACGGTACCTGACGTGCGTCCTATTAATTATAAACATCATTCAAACGACGCGAAACAAAAAGTCTGACACGTTAATTCATCACATCGACCATTCCCCGATAAGAAGAGTTTAAGAGAATCACCGGCTAATCTCCGAACAACTTCCAACGGTAAAACGCAAAAAAAGTTAGCCGGAGCTAACCATAGACAGTCTTATTTTCCACAAGTACATTCCCGTACTTTTCGATAAAGGCCCTCCCGCCCCCGACGCCTAATCCCTCCGGCCGGCATCGTACACAGCAACATCTCCACTACATACACACATACCCAACAAAAGCGGAATCGCCATTTCCCGTAATGTCCCAGCAGCTTCTTATCAACCCTCACGGTTTTCCAACCCTACGGAGTCCTACTCGCAGTGTATATATTACGCGCTGGATGTATAGGGGTTCGGGGGGGGGGGTGATCTGGGAAAACTAACGAGCGTAGCGTACAGGGAGTACACGGAGAAGACGCTTGTCAGGAGCGCCTCTAAGAAACGATAGCACCGCGCCAAATACAATCGTGCACTTGTATTATCGTGTAAGTATATATACACATACCTATTACGCATAACACCAACATCAACACGTAAATATATTTATAACACAAATATAGGGGGGTTAAGTGAGAGAAATAGAACTGCAGGCGGTTATATGTATAAGTTGTACAAACGAGCAGAGAGAGGCATAAAAACATATACATTGTCATATATCAATACACACAGAACATCTGCACGTCTATGTACATTCGTATGCGTGGGTGTGGGGGTAGTGAGCGCTATTATCGGTTACACCGTGAGCGAGCAAGGATGGCTGACATGGTGTTCGAGTATTATATAGACATAGAATGTTGCAAAACATCAAAATCTAAAACATACACGTGTAACGGGCACGCGATTTTTGGCGTATCCTCGTCGTGACCGTAGTTGCAAAAGCTACTGCTGCACCGCGTTATTAGGGGTTGCTACTTATTAATCTTTTTTTTTTAGGAGGTTTCGATTTTTTTTTTTTTTTTCACTACAAAATTCAAATAAATGTTCATACATTTTACGTGTAGGTTGTACAATAGTACAAAAACATTTATTGCATTGCATGGCAGTAGATAAATGTTAGACAAACATGTAATCATAAATATTTTTTTCAAATTGAAAGATAGATAGAAATAATCAAAAATAACGTAAAGACGCGAGGACGAAAAATTCGATTCATTGGTTGCAACAAAGTGTGAATGTTTAATGGCGGTTAATCGATACGTTTTATGCGGTACACACAAACAGCGTGCAATAAAACATCTACACCCCCACTACACAGACAGAGAGACCCGAACCCGAACCTCTTGTATCGCGGCCAAAAGAGTACTTATATATATATTTATCTTATCTTATCTTACTAATATATAAAGCAAAGTCGCTAAAACCGTTGTAATCGCTAACCGCGAAAACTACTGAACCGATTTTGCTGAAATTTTGCATACCGATTCTTGACACTTCCTAGATGGTTTTAGTATGGTTTTCATCTTGAAAAATTTAATAACAATAGCAATAAATAAGCTCAAAGTTTTGCAAAAATACGCCAGCTTTTCACTTTAGTTTAGTAGGATCCACTAGGTGGTGTCGACATGAAATCGAAGCTACCTGCAACAGAATTGAATAAGTATGGTAATGATACGCCGGAGCGTCGCAAAAATCTCTGTTCTTGTCTACCACCAGTTCGTTAAGCTGCATCGAAATTGTAGATGATCGTCGTGCAGCTGATGGGTACCCCGGTTACCGACGACGCTATTCTCCAATAGGCAACTAGGCAAGTAATCTAGGTCTACTATCACCTTGAACCTCCTAAATTGACGAGTGCAACCAATAAAAAATTTATTCCAACCGATGATGTCTTCGGTGGAGTACCAGGAGACGTATCTAGCCAGAGCAAATCCTGCTCCAACCCTTCAGAGTTATATGGCCTTACCACAATCTGTCCTGGTGCCGTCAGAGAATTTTATACTTCAAATGTAAGCCAAGGTAAACAGCCCTGAGAGGCATGCGCAGCCATAACGGCTTCCTTCTCAGTGGTCGTGTCCCCAACGGCATCCCCACATTTCTCCGTCTAACGATGAGCGGCTGGTGATCCGGGAAACAACCCAAAGACGAGATATTTTTTGATCAGTGGCATACCTCCCTCATGTACGGTCTCCGTCCACATCAGAGACTCCGAGGGTAAGAGTCAAGCTACCCGCAGCTAGCTCTCCATCATCAAGAATAATAATAAGGAATGACTGGAAATTTTACCACTGGCCTTTTTCAGGGCCAATGTAAGCATTTACGTTCCCTACTTAACCATTAATCTCATCGGTCCTTTTAAGGACCATCTAAGTTTAGATTATCTTGCCAACAAATACATTTTTACTTCGATTTCTATAGACGATTCGTCAACTATAAAAGACTATGTAAAGCCGGCCACTATTAAACCAAGTCAGTCATTAACTAACAGACGTCAGGAGCAGAGTTGTTCGTCGCAAGGCTGGGAGCCCCGATGACCGACGACCCTATATTACCCTCTCGACTCTAAGAATTTAACCAGGAATCACCGATCATGTCCAAGGTCTGCGCTGGGCGAACCTAACAGCCAGCTAACAGCTATGAAGGGAAAAAAATTTGAGCCAACTGGAGTCTCCAACGAACAAGCATCACGAACCAATCTCTACTAATCTCTCCACCTTAGATCATCAAAACAACTGAGTCTGCTAAAAAAAGGTGCTTTAGACAC